TGCATGAATGCGTATGTATGAGTACCAGGAGCTATGCTGTTTTTGCAGAGACCCTCTCATTTAATTCTCATATCAGTCCCCTGAAATGGGAACCATAATTAGGCCCATTTGCAGATGAGGAAACTGAGGCTCAGAGAACTCAAGTCATGGCCTTAAGGTCACATAGTCAGGATCTGAACCCCAGGGAGACTGACTTTAGAGCCCAACCTCCCAGTTACTTCTCTCTACTGCCTCAAGGGATGGGAGCATAAAGTCTCCATCATGGTACTTGGCACACAGCAGGTGCTCAGGAAATGGCAGTCAAAAGAAAAGGGTGGAACTGAGGCCCAGAGAGAATTCATTTGGACATCTGATGTGGAATCTGCCAATGAAGAGGGTCCTTCAGAGTTGGCTGGTCTGCTCCACCCACCCCATGTCCATCCCCACTGTAGGCTGGACTCACCATTGCTCAGCACGTCTTTGGTAACCCTGAGGACAGTATTTGTCTCTTGGCGGATACCACACACTGCTGCCATGGACAGGGCAGCCACATACCATGTCGTCCACATATTGGTACTGCTTCCCTACTGAGGAGACAGGGTATCAGATGGCTCTGCATCATCACCCTAGCCAGCAAGTGGAGGCCAGCCCCTGCCATGAGCCATAGCCAGACTCTGAGGCCCAGAGACAGGGAAAACTGAGCACACATCACACAGTGGGGTAAGGCTCAGAATTTCAGAAACCTGCTGAGTTTTTCAAACTGAAATGAATCTGGGGGCACAAAGCAGACAATAACCAAACTGCTCCAGTGCTCTGGGATGTCTGATTATCTCCTAAACCGAGATTTTTAAATGGAGCCTCAAGGGGGAGAGGTAATAGAAATTTCCATCTAAAATAGCAAGCTGATTGCAAGCAGGAGCTGGAGAACACTCTCTAGCATCTACCATCCACCTCTCCATCCACCTCTCCATCTACTCATCCAACCATCCATTCTCCCCTTCCTATTCATCTATGCACCTATCCATCCAACCATCCATCCATCCATCACCACTCACTCATCTGTTTGTCTTCTTATACCTCCATCATCCATCCATCATCCAACCAGCTAGAAGGCCAGTCAAATGTCCAATTATCCATTCATCCATCCTTCTATCATTCCACCCACACAGCCATCTAGCCACCCTCCCATACATCCAGCCAACAAGCAAATACTCTTTCCCACCTCTTTGTAGGAGAGTCTTCTTAATCTAGAGATGAATGGCTCTGTATTGGAGTTATCTGGGTTCTAATTTTTAGGGAAGGGATCTTACCTTTTTTGAATATCTGCTTCTGAGTCACTAACACATCAGACCTAGTACCTCATACCAAAAAACCCATTGGCACCAAGTCAATTCCAACTCATAGCAACCCTATAGAACAGAATAGAACTGTCCCATAGGACTTCCAAGGCTGTAAATCTTTACAGAGGCAAACTGCCTCGTCTTTCTCCCACAAAGGACCTGGTGGGTTCAAACTGTCGAACTTTCATTTAGCAGTCAAGTACTTAACCATTACACCTCTAGGGTTCCTCTAGTACCTAGTACACACTTAGTAAGCAGCAGCTATTGTTATTGTTTTGGGACAATTACTTCAGACCCCAAGAAGTGGGTGGAGAGTGCTAGGAGACTGAAGGAGTGGGTGAAGCGGGTATTTTGGGACAAGCTGATGAGCCTCCAGGAGATTCCATTTTGTTACCTCCATGGCCTCGCCCATTTCTCTCACTCCATCTGCCTGGTCTATCCACTCACCAGCCACAGATAATCAACACAGGACATGGCCTCCCATCAAGGCCAAACTGTGAAATTCTTGGCTTCAGCCTCCTCCACTTATGAATCCTCTTCTCTTTTCCCTGCCTTCAGTTTTCTGGAAGTTCGCAAAGCCCCCAAATTCTTTCCCCATCTGCATCTGCTCCCAGGAAAAGACTGGAGACACTCATTTATACTAGAATATGAAGGACTAATATGTGCAAGATTCCCGCCCTCCCCCCATGGCTTCCTCACCTGAGAGCTCTGTGTTCTAACAGAAATCACCACCTTCGGTTTAAAACATGGGCACCAGTGGAGGGATTTCTGGCATCAGCAAGCAGCTGAGGAGTCTTAGGGAGGTAACAATGGTCCAAGGTACCCAACATTCCTGGGAGAGATGTGTGCAGCTCTGTCCATGCATGTTATCAGTGCGACTCGGGCCCTTTTCATCAATCCCTGACAGGTTCTCATGACTATGTTACAGGCAAGACCACTGAGGCTCAGAGAAGAGTCACCCAGCCAGGTTTCCAGTCTGCCACTGACACCTCCCCAGGCCTCAGCCTTCCCCTGCCAGCCTAGACGCTGAATGAGAAAGGGGCTCCTCCTTACCCCTGGGAGGTCCCTGCAGCTCAGTCCAGAGAGGTTCCCTTCACAAGGACCTCTGTTTTTGACTGAGTCTGGTCACAGGTCAGCCTTATATAGCACTGGAGTCTGAGCCTGGACCCAGAGAGGGAAACACCGTGTAATTACGAGAGACCGGAATTCAGATTTGCTATGCGAATCAGGCATTGAGCCCCAAAACCACAAGGGTTTGCGGTTTCTGGTTAATTCCGAGAACTGTGTTCAGTCCCAGACGGTGTCACATGAGCTGGGGTTTATCAGCCCCTGGTCTGGGCATATTCCGGGAGACCCCAGCTAGGCTTCCAGATCAGAGAACCAGAAACACCCACAAATGCATCAGGTTTCCAGCTCTACAATGGGCACTGCCTATTTCAAATGGTCTTGGCAGACAAGATGTGCCCTGAACTAGATGGACTCAGGATGGGGCTGACCCAGGATCAAACCCCATCTAACCCCTAACTCACTGTGTGACCTTGGGCCTGTTATTTCCCCTCTCTGAGCCTCACATGCTTCCTACTGTAAAATGGATACAATACCTGCCTCAAAGGGCTGATTGGAGGATTTAGGGAGATGGATGTGGATCTGACTCCTCCAATTTGGGGCCTACGTGTAGAAAACATGCAGATGAGCTTTGACCTGCAGACGGCCTCCCTCTAAAAAATCTTGTTATGGTATTTTCACATGTGGTAAAGTTTAAAGACTTGATCAGTGAACACCCATGTGCAGTCACCTTATACCCACCAGCTACATCTACTGTGATCATTTCATTATACTTTTTCTCTAATCACATCTACCATTAATCTTTTTATTTTTTTGATACATTTCAAAGTTGCAGGCAACAAACAGTACACTTCCCCCTAAACACTTCAACACACACGCCATTACCTAGAGTTCAAGATTGGTTTGTGACTCTTCTCTTCAGATGTAAAATTCACCTACAGCACAATGCACAAACATTAAGCATGCATTTGCGGAATTTTGACAATTCTGAACAGCCATGTGGCCCACACCCTTATCGCTATCATTCCAGAAAGTTCCCTCCTGCCTCTTCCCAGTCAATCTCTTCTCCCAACCCTGAGAGGCAGTCACTGCCCCTCCAGGACCTGCAGTGGCTGCCTTTGTCTCCAGGTACAATGGAGACCTCTTCCTCTGGCATTCCAGGAGGTCTGCCCTCCACACTCAGAGCTTATCCTCTCCGTTCCCTTCCCATCGCCCCTGGCCTCCCTGCCTCTGGGGCTTTGCACACGAAATCCCTACCATCTAGCATGTCCTTGTCCAAACTCCATTTATCAAAATTGTGCAGAAATGTCAGCTCCTCCAGAAAGCTTTCCTTGATAATCCCAAGCCCCTATCCTTCCTCTGGACCACCCAGGGCGCTCTCGACCCCAGAATGAGGTGAGATTGCTCCAGGTAAACCAGGTAAACACAGGCATGTGCCCCACTCTTAGCCCAGCATGGGCACATATGCCGGTGTAGTGAATGAATGAAGGAGTGGGTTCTTTTACCCTCCAGTGGACTGGGAGTCCTCTGAGGCCTCCTTGCTCACCCCATCTCCAGCTCCAGCCCAGGGCCACCTCTTCTGTGATTCCACTTTCCCTACCTGCCAAGTCCTAAGAGGTGGGGGCATGTCTCACACTCCCCGCCAGGGCCGAAAGTAAACATGGAGGGCCCTGAACCCCACAAGGAAGTGCTTCCTCCTCCCTTCCTGGGTCTCTGAAAGCAACATGGCTGACCTCAAGTCCTGCCAAGCTCAGCCAATGTCACCACTGGCTTCTCTCATGTGTCCCCAGGACAGCCCCTCTCTGGGACTCAGTTTCCCCATCTGCAATGGGGGCATCGATGTAACAAGAGCACAGGCTCTGGGGTGGCTGCTGGACTTGAATTCTGCTGTCGGCTCTCTCTGAACCTCTGTTTCCTTGGTTGTAAGCTGGTGATCAAACCATCCCAACCTCAGAAGGATATCACAAGGATCAAGTGGCTTAACCATGGAGAGAACAGGGCCTGGCACACAGTAGGTGCTTGGTGGACAGTATTTTTATCCTCTACATGCAGTTCCCTGCAGGCTCCACATGATGGCAAGTTGAGGCAAGAGGAAACAGCTTTAGCCCCAGCCCTGGATGTCTTATCCATCCCCTGTGAGAGCTGGAAGGGCTCCAGGGTGGGGCGCTGAGAGTCGAGAGTGCACACACTTGAGTAGCCATATCCTGTCTCAGCTATCAGGCCGGGAACAATTACTCTTCCCTTGGCCTCAGTCTAACTAACTACAAAATGAATATAATCGTGCTTCCCCAGCAGAGTTGCAGGGATTACATGGGAATGTATCCAGAGTCTCGGGGGCTCAGCAAACACCAGCCCTTCTTTTTTTCTACCCCTGATGAAGGCAGCCTCTGTGCAGCCTCTGCCCCAACTTGATAGGAGTGTACACTTGTGTCAATGGGTTTCCTTCTCTGTGCCTCAATTCCCTCCTCTTGAGAGACTTGCAGTGACATCTCAAAATGATGACAATTATCTGGGTTAAATTGGCTCCTGGCCCTCTTTTGTTTAACACTTCTGTGCTCCCTGTAGCATGGCATTTAGTAAGTGATGTTGTTGTTGCAGTTGCTGTGATGTGCTGTCGAGTCAGCCCCGACTCATAGCGACCCCTCCTTGGGTTTCCAAGGCGGTATCGCTATGGAAGTAGATTGCCCAACCTTCCTTCTGAGGAGTGGCTGGTGGGTTTGAACCGCCAGCCTTCTGGTTAGTAAGTGATAGGAATGCTTACTAAACAGATAGATTACCTTTTCAACTCAAATAAAATGCACAGAGGCCAATTGTCTCTTTCCCTACCCCCTTCCCCTGCCCACAGGGACCACTGCACACTAAACTGTAGAGGGCAGTGCACACACAGGGTTACCCAAAGCTTTATCCTGGTCTTCCTCAGTCCTGAGACCAGCCAGGCCTTGGTGCCCATGACACCACCTGCCCCCAGCGGCCCCCTGGCCACCCCAAGAGGATTAGTGCAGCCCTGGCGCCAGGGAGATCACCTGGGCTTAGCGTCCAAAGGGCACCTTTGTCTGGAGCTGGCCAAGGATGGGGGAGGGACATCTGATTCCCTCAGAGGAGCCCAAAGGTGAGTCACCCACACATGGGCCATGTGGGGGGCCATGCAGGAGACTTCAGAGATCAGGAAACAGCCCCACCCACCACTCACCCCTCCACTCAGCCCTGTCCCCCTCCTGGACTGTCTGCTGCCAAAGCCACAAGGGGGCTCCCAGAGGAAGGGTCCCTTCCTGTCTTCTTTTATCCTCCCCCTTCAATGTGGAGGTTCTGGAGTGAGACAGATCTGGCTTTAAATCCTGACTTCATCACTTCCTAGTTGTGTGGCCTCGGGCGAGTCACTCAACCTTCTCATGCCTCAACTTCCCCCCAGATAATGAGCGTGGACTCCTTGGGGGGTGCGAACAGTTAAGTAAGTGACTATTATCTGAAAAGTTGGAAACACTAGGCCACCCAGAAGTGCCTCAGAAGAAAGACCTGGCAACATGCTTTCCAAAGGTCTCAGCCTTGAAAATCCTACAAAGCAGTTCTACTCTGCACACGGGCTCAGCATGAGTGGGAATCAACTCACAACTGGTTTAGTTTTTCTGTGGTTATGTGTTTTTTCCTCACTGCTACTTTGTGCAGTGATGGGACTCACCATGATGAAGCAGACGCCACCCCCAACTCTGGGGAGCTCTCGAGGGGGACAATGAGACAGCAGCAGCGACAATCTAGTGTGGTGAGTGTAAGAGCGACTGAGAGGCTCCCCTGGCGGTGGGGCTTGCCAGGCACATTGTGGAAGGGGGAGGCTCCAGGAAAAGGAGGCTGGGCAGAGCACTGACCATGTGCCAATACGCCAGCCCCTCTTCTCAGTACCTTACAGGGATTCAAAAAAAAAAAAGTCAAACCGAACTCACTGCCATTGAGTTGGAGATGGTATCTTTATGGAAGTAGATTGTCCAGTCTTCCTTCTGAGGAGTGGCTAGTGGGTTTGAACCGTCAGCCTTCTGGTTAGAAGTCAAATGCCTTAGGCACTATGCCACCAGAGCTCTTACAAGGATAGTCTCATCTAATCCTCAACCAACCTATGACTGAATGCTACATTAGTCCCATTTTACAAAGGAGGACCTGAGGCCCACAGACAACTCTGCTCCCTTTCCACACCTCAGGAAGAATTGGCTGAGGTCAGATCACAACCAGCCTTAAATGCCTAAACTGGGAGTGTGGATGATACCTTGTTGGTAACAAGAATCCAGCCTTGTGGGGCTGTCAGTGATGGTTTGAGATGATGGCCAGATGGTCATGTAAGGTTAAGGATGGGGTAGAGGAAGGGAGGATGGAAGAGAGGAGGATGGGAAACCAAGGAGGGTCAGGTGTGGTCCTCATGAGAGATGACGTAGGGTGCTGAGGCAGGGATGTGGAATAGAGAGGAGGGAACAAGGCATCGTCAGGAGGTAAAATGATCCAGCAAGAACAAAAGCTAACAGCAGTTGAGTGGAGCCCTCGTGGTTCAACGCTTAAGCACCTGGCTGCTAACTGAAAGGTTTGTGATACGAACCCACCCAACAGCTTCATAGGAGAAAGACCTGGTGATCTGCTGCCTTAAAAATGTCTAGAGAACCCTATGTGGCAGGTCTACTCTGTTGCACAGGGTTACTATGAGTTGAAATCGACTTGACGGCACCTGGCAACAACAGTAATAGGCAAGTCATCATCCTATGGCCAATTTAGCCCTCAAAACCCTATGACCATCTTACGATCATCCCCATAAGGAGCCCTGGTGGCAGGTTAAGCACTCAGCTGGTAATTGTTTTGGTGGTTCGAACCCACCAGCTGCTCCATGAGAGAAAGATGTTGCTTCTATAAAGATTACAGCTCTATGAAAATTCTCCCGTCTCTAGGGTCTAAACCCTGTGGGAAGTTCTACCCTGTCCTATAGGGTAGCTATGAGTAGGAATCAACTTGACAGCTGTTGTTGTTATTTGCTGTGGAGTCAGACCCAACTCATAGTGACCCCTCCTTGGGTTTCTGAGGCAGTATCACTACAGAAGTAGATTGCCCAATCTTCCTTCCGAGGAGGGGCTGGTGGGTTTGAACCGCCAGCCTTCTGCTTAGCAGTCAAGTGCCTTAGGCACTACGCTACCAGAGCTCCTAACTTGACAGCAGCAGGTTTGATTTTTTTGGCTTATCATCCTGTTATTGAGAAAACTGAGGCTCAGAGAGATTAAATGACTTATCCAAGGCCATATGGCTAGTTAGCAGCTTGGATGGGATTTGAACATAGGCCACTAACCCTTGAGCCACTTATTTAACCAGTACACTATCCTGGATGGGAGTCAGTAGACACTTGGAGTCAGAAAAGAGTTGAACTAAATCCTAACATGTCATTCACACTGGGCCTGGCATTTAGTACCAATAAATGTAGGGTAGATGGATGAGAGAAGGAGGAGGGGACAACAGGGTAGACAGAAAGGTGGATAGATGGATGAAGCCAATGAATGGCTGTATGGGGGAGGATGGGTGAGTGAGCAGTTGGCTGAAGGTGGATGGATGACGATGGGTGGGTGATGGAAGGATGGTATCAGGGCCATTCCTCATGGTAGACAAACCTCCAGTTGGGCTCCAACTCTTCTCTGCATGCCCCTCATCCCCAAATCCTCTGATCCAATTACCAAAACCTCATTGGCACCTCTTCAACTAAGGCCCACCCATTAGTGCCAACTTGGAGCCATTTCCCAGAACTAAGGAGGCCACTCCCAAGAGGTAGGGAGGAGTCCAGTGCCAGGAGGTAGGATCCCCAAATTCCCATCCCAATTCCGCTTCTGTGTGGCCTTGGGCGCCAGTCAGGCCCCCTCTCTGGCTTCACTTTCCCCATCGGCACTAAGAGCGCTTGGTACAGCTTTGCTCTGAGGTCTGTCCTGATGTACAGCCAGTGGGGATCCCTCCGGGGCAGCCCAGTCTCATTCATCCTCACATCCCGGTATGCTAGTTCCTTTTCTCTCTGGCAAACTTCAATTTGCCCTTCACAGTTCAGCTCAGATGCCACTTCTGAGAAGCTTCCCAAAGACACAGACACAGATAGACACAGACTCAGAGAGACAGAGAGGAAGTGAAAGATAGATTTAGAGAAATGGAGAAAGAGGGAGAGAGATCAAGGCAGGGAAGGGAGTGAAGGCAGGACAGGACACAGAGGCTGCCTAGGCCAACAAGTAAGCTCAGGACTCAAAGCTGCAATAATGACCAGGCTCAAGTCGCCTCATTCCCAGGTGCTCCTGCCTAAGTCTGGGAGGACACTGAAGACAAAGGCCCAGCAGCCTCTGGATGACTGGAGAATAAACCAGCCTGGAGGTACTGAGCCAGGGAAGTAGTTTATTGAAAGCTCATGACTTGCCAGTGAGGCCCAAAGCCCTCTCAGAGGCAGAGTCCTGTGGCTAGCCCTGCAGTCTCCACTCAGACTGGGGCAGAGTTGTAGGGTCAGAGTGCCTGGGTGGGCCTGGTGGAGATGCGATACTGATGCTTCACCAACACAGACTTAGAGGCTGGGATGGAAATTGAGGCAGAGTGAGTGGTGGATAGGACTCTGGAAATCAACAGGGAGGGATGGTAGCCACTTCTCAGCCTCAGGATGCCACCGTCAGCACAACAGCATTCTGCAAGGAGCAAGAGTTCTCTGTTAGACCCTCTGAGTCTTTTGAGTCTTTGTGCCCACCACCCCTGCCACATCCATCCCTGCTATCATCTCTGTTCCTCCCCCTGCCCTGGGGTGAGCACTGTACCTGGAACCCAGTAGGCACTCATAAAGTGTCTTGAATGGATAAATGAACAAATGAATAAATGACACCCAGTGTAGGTCAGGTTGCTGACTTTAAAATTTAAGGAGACCCAAACTCAAAGTCTACTTCTGCCACTAATTTACTGTATGGCATTGGGTCCGAAATTTTACCTCCCTCAGACTTAGTCCTCATCTGAAAAATGGGTACAGAACTCCCTAGTCTGCCTACCTCCCAGGGTCATTCCAAGGCTCAAAGTTATGCTGGGTTGAGAAAGATTGTGAGGTCACGTTAATACTGAGCAAGAAAAGGTGTCAGATAAATTAGCCATGTCTGCCACTGGCACAGGATAAAGGAGAGGCAGCCCATGTATGTGCCATCTCCAGAACAGCATAAATGTGATTCTGTAAGAATATGAGGTTCCATCCTTGAAAACCAGAGCATGTGTCTGAATTCAACAGGAAAGAACTCTGGGATCGATTGGCAATGTCTGCTATGGCACAGAAGGAGTGAGAGCACACTTACCACATATTTGCCATCCCCCAAATTAAGTACTTGGTAATTCTCTCAGCAATTTAGAAAATGGTGCAAACCAGAGGAATCCCCCTAATGAATTTCAAGCAAGGCCCTCTAGAGATAAACTAATGGCCCATTTGGGCCACATCTGCAGGGGACACTCACCTCTATAACGTCCAGGACTGCATTGGCAAAATTGACATTGAGAACCTTAGGCAGGGGGATTCCAACATCCAGATCCACTGTAAAGAGGGAATAGTTGAAAGCAAAGATACGTGGGGGGATCTGGTGATGTAGTGCCTAAGGCATTTGACTGCTAACCAGAAGGTTGGTGGTTCAAGCCCACCAGCCACTCCACGAAAGGAAGACTCGGGCAATGTACTTCCATAAAGATTCACCACCTGGGAAACCCAAAGGGGGTCACTACAAGTTGGAATCAACTCGATGGGAGTGAGTTGGTTTTTTGGTTTGAAGGGTGGGACTGGTGACCTATTTCTACCACTTTCCTTAAGCCAGTCATTTCTCTTCTTGGCAACTACTAGAAAACCCCTTTTCATACTTCTAAACCCAAACAAAAATGCCCCTTTTCTGTATTTTCATCACTGGCTCCCCTCAGCAAAGCCTCGGTGAGGCTCCCTCAGTCCCTTGTACATCCTGGGTTGTCTATAATCTAATCATTTGTATGTATAACTATTTCCCAATCAATTGTGAGCTTGAGGACAGGACTTGGGTTAGATTCATCTCAAGGCCCAGAGCCCAGCATGATGTAGGTACTAACGTTTTTTGAATGAAAACATTGGTACTTCAGTATAAAAATCTTAGCAGTGGGGGACCAACCCCTCTCTGGCCTCAGTGTCCCCACCAGAACGATGACGAGAGGGAATAAATTAAACAGTCCCAAACTCAGCCACTCCATGTGTCTGAGAAGACAGTGAAGGCCACCCATACCATTGAGCTTCGGCACATAAGCCACCCGGAGCACATCACTGAGCCATTCTTCTAAACGGGACGCCTGCAACAGAGCACACAGAGGGCTTCACAGGCTCACTCCTTCCCAGGAAGGGAAATCCAGAGCCCCAGCTTCCCCCCACCCCAAGCCTGAGGACACAGCTCCCGCTGGTGGTAGGACTCCCCGGGGTGGGCCATCCACTCATCACCAAAATGACTCTGCCTTGGCCACATGAGCTCGGAAGAGACACCTTCCTGGAGGAAGGGGCTCCAGGGCCTATAGGGAGGCAATGCCTGGGAAAGAGGGAGGAAGATGTGCCCAGCTCTAGTAGAACTCTGTGACATCTCTGTCAGTATAAGGACCCTTAGAACGTTCTAGAACCTGAGACCATTGTGAGATTCCAGAACCTCAGAACTCTGAGAGAAGCAGGAACCTCAGGGCTCTATGGGGCTCTGAAATTTTAGAACTTTCTGAATTTGGGAAATGTATTACTTGTGTAAAGTTTCAGAATGTTAGACCCTTGTGAGGTTCTAGATGTTTACAATGTTGTGAGGGTCCAAGACCTTGGAAGATCATGAAATTCACTTTCCTCAATGCTTATTATTTTACACAATCACACACACACATGCCCTCTATAGCTTGTTCAGGCAGAGCCCAAACTGAGGCCAACTCCACTATATGGACTATAATTCATCTCCACTCCCCTTCCAACCCCCACCTGAAGACCTTTACCACCACCAAGCTGCTCACCATCCCGGGAACTTACATCAAAGGGCTGGGAAAAGGAGGAGGCCAGCTTGACCTTGAGCCTAATGGAGAGAAGAGAGATGTTGAGGTTTCCAACTACCTGCTGCAGGCCATCCTGCTCCCCGACAAGCTCCACTCCCAACCTGCCCAACCACAGCTCACAGGGATCAGGAAACAAGGTTCGAGGCCCAACTCTGCCTCTGTCCAGCATTGACAGTTTTCCTGCCTGTCAAATGGATCTGGAGGGATCTAAGGAACTCTAGTGGTGTAGTGGTTAAGCATTTGGCTGCCAACCAAAATGTTGGGGGTATGAACACAACAGCTACTCTGAGGGAGAACGATGAGGCAGTATGCTTCTGTAAAGATTTGCAGCCTTGGAAACCCTATGGGGCAGTTCTACTCTGTAGAACTGCTATGAGTCAGAATCAACTTGATGGCAGTGGGCTTGGTTTGGTTTGGTTTGGTCTAGAGGGTGACTACTACCTGTGATTCCACGGCCTGATTTGCAACTGTTTCACTCTAGGCAAGTGGCTGAACATCTCTGAGGAGTCACCCTCCCCCAGACTGAACAATGGACACAGGACACCTTACATACAGCAGGCACTCACTAAAAGCAGCAACCCACTGATGGACCATGGCTGGCCCAAGGGCAAGCACCAGGGCTGGACCAGAGCTGGACACAGGTCCCTACTTTCTGAAGGGCTGAGCCACAAACTGTCCCTGGAAAGATGGAGCTTGCCCCAGGCCGTGGCCAAGGCATCTGTCCGGGGTGGAGATTGGGCAGCACTGGAACCGTGTGAGGAGCAGAAGGTGCCCAAGGGGCCTGAGGGGCACTGGCATGGGGTCAGGTGAACACTGGGGGCCCACAGCTCAGGACAGGCAGATCCCAGAGAGCTCTGGGAAAGCCCGTGCATCCAGGCAGGGACAGACAGCCCCAGGCCTGGGCCACGGTGAGAGCAGCGGACCTGGAGTGTGGAGGCCCAGACCGTAGACACAGTCCCGCAGACAACCCAACACATAAGCCTGGATCTGCAGCGTGATCTGCAAACTGCAAAGTGGAAGGAAGGATTGCTTTGGCCTCATCACCTCGATTATTATTATCACGATGCCTCATTACCACAGTGAGGTGATGGGAAGGGAGATCAGAAAAAGTCTCAAGTATAACAAAGCATTTTACAACATTTGGGGCCAGTTAGCTTGGCTTTTAGTATATGAGGCTGATAATTCAGGAGTTCGGACTCCATTTCCTGCCTGGTTTATCTCCTAGTTCTAGATTTTGAGCAGCTATGGGGTGCAGTGGAAGAAGGTCAGCTCTGAAGATCCTTCATCTGTAAAATGGGCTAACATGTCCCCCTCCCAGGCAGGTCTTGGCAAGGATGAAGCTGGGAGAGCACCTGCAATCTAACTGATGCTCAACAAATGGCAGATGGGTCCCGCCAGCCTCTAATTCTTGTTCCTAAAGACAAGGCCTAGGAGCTCTGGGAGCGTAGTGCCTAAGGCACTTGACTGCTAACCAGAATGCTGGCGGTTCAAATCCACCAGCCACTCCTCAGAAGGAAGATGGGGCAATCTACTTCCGTAGTGATACTGCCTCGGAAACCCAAGGAGGGGTCGCTATGAGTCGGGTCCGACTCGACGGCAAACAACAACAACAACAACAACAACAAAGACAAGGCCCAGGACCCCACATTACCGTTCCAGGGACAGGGAGACGTGCAGCTTAGTAGCCGAGGGAGCCAACTGGGCATTCAGAGTTATAACCTGCATGGGAAAAAATGGCCAAGTTTTGCCCTCACCTCAAATTCAGCAGAACAAGCTGGCAAGACAGGTCTGCCTTGCAGAAAAGGTGGCCATCAGTGAATGTCAATCATCTGTCCCCTCCCTCACCCTTTCTGTGGTCCTACTGTGTGTTAAGTTTCATACTGGGCACTGGAGAGGTAACTTACAAGTTTGGGTGTTCAAGGAACAGAGCGTTATTAAAAGTGAGAGTGATTGAAGAAGGACACAGGGAAGAGGTAACCACAAGGAGGAAGTGGGAAGAGAGCTATTACACTGTGGGGATTGCAATCAATGTCAGGAAACAAAATGTGCACAAACTGCTGTATGGAAAATGAATTTGCTCTGTAAACTTTCACCCAAATCATAATTTAAAAAAGTGAGAGTGATCAGTGCCATATGAGAAGCAGCCTAGGGGCTGCAAAGGGGTGAAGAGGGGTAAAGAAAGCCTCCCCCAGAAGGTAACACCTCAGCTGAGTTGAAAGATGAATAGTCAGTCAGGGAAGGGGGGAGATGGCACTCTAGGTGGATGCTGAACAAAGGCAAGGAGGTGGGACCTAGGCTGCCTCAAGTAGCTGAGGGTGCAGGATGGGCAAGCCCAAGGATGAGGCAGGAAGTCATTCAATGCCAGGATCAGGAGCTTGGTGATGGGGCACCAGGGCAGAGGGAGAGCCGGAGAGGGGTCTGCTGCTGCTCAGATGTGTGCTTGGGAAAACTAGTGGAGCGTGGCTACAGTCCAAGAGACGGCTGAGCACAGAGGGGCTGGGAAGACAGGGAGCAATTCCTGAGAGCCCAAGAAGCGAGCGGACAGGCCTTGGACGTGTCAGATGTGTGAGGAGGGAGCCAGTGGGTGTCTAGGTAGGCACTCAGTCTCAGCCCAGGTGAGGACAATGGGGGGAAGGGGCCTTGCAGTGCTGTGCCAGCAGCCCCCCTCCCTTGCTGAAGTCAAAAGTAACCTCCCCAGAAGCCTGGGTGGACCAGCCCCAGAGCCAAGCCCCTGCCCCTCAGCCACTCACCCCGTTCAGGTCAAAGAGGGCTTCAGGAGTCCCTTTAGGGGCATAGGACAGCACGTGGATGGCCGCTGTGATGGAGACCGTGGCCTTCTTGCTCTGGAGCGTGACGGTGGGTGCTTCCTTCACCCGCAGTGAGAGCAGCAGGTGCTCATACGGGGGCAATTTCCCCAGTGCCTGGAGAGAGGCAGAGCAGGTGTGGGAGGGCAGCTTAGAAACCCAAACCCAAACTCACCGCCATCGAGTTGATTCTGACTCATAGCAACTCCACTGAGTTTCTAAGGCAGTAAATCGTTAGGGAAGTAGCCTGCCCCAACTTCCTTCCTCAGAGCAGCTAGTGGGTTTGAAGTGCCAACCTTCTGGTTAGCAGTCAAATGCCTTAGGCACTGCACCACCAGAGCTCCTTGAGGGGGGCTTAGATGCCTGTTAATAGAATCCATCAGGCAGTCAACACTCCTGAGCCCCTACTGTGCACCAGGCACCATGCTGACATGCCCTGAACCACAGAGGCCGGCCATTCTGGTGGGGGAACACCAAGCCATGGAAGCACCATTCAGGGTCAAAGTCCTCACCCAGGCCCTCAAGGTCCTACATGATCTGTTCCCTGCCTTCCTCTCAACCTCACCCCCCTCCACTGCCCCTCCCACTCTCTCCTCTCTAGACTCCCTGGCCACCTCGCTTACTACTCCTCCAACCTGCCTGCAGCTCCCACCTCAGGGCCTTTGCACTTGCTAATCTGGTCTGCTCCTGCATGGCTGAGTCCTCACCTCCTTCAGGCCTCTGCTCAAATGTCCTATCCGCAGGTGGGCTCATCATACCGCCCACACCCCTAATCCACCTGCACCACTCTATTCTCCTCCACTTCCTGCCTCTGTTCATACTCCACTTGTTCATTTGCTCAGTGCCTGTCACCCCCTCAGAACGGCAGCTCCTCGAGCACAGGGGTTTTTGTCTACTTTTCGTCTTTTGCCCCTTCTGCATCCTCAGCACCTAGCAGAGATCCTGGTACATAGTAGGTGCTCAAGAGATAATTAGGTGATTGACAGAATGAATATATAATTTAGTAACCCTGAGATAGAATTGCTACCCTCAGGACACTTAAATGATGGAATTTGGAGAGTCAATTCCTCAAGCCAGGTTCTGAGAGTTGCGGGATCATAAAGACGGAGAACCACCAGATCCCACCCTCATGTGTCTGCAGAATCTGGAGCCATAGCACTAGACGCAGCAGGGGTGCCTTAAGTTCTGATGCTTGGAGGCCAGAGAGCAGAGAACAAAGGCTTAGCCCTCGAGTGGCAAATCCAGCCTCCCTGCGCTGGAGGGATACCTCCCAAACACTGCACCCACATGTCCCTGCCCTGCCGTTTCTGGTTCCCCCAAGTCTCTCTCTGCTATTACAACCCCTGCCTTAGGAGGTTCTTCTCGATGTCTAACCTCGGTCAGCCCTTGTGTATGACTCCTGTGCCCTTTAGCCAAGGGACTCCCAAGAAGTGGAGGCCCCACCCACTCCCCACTGAAGCTGCTTTGAGTCACCACCTCCAAAGACTCAGAGTGTGTCTTCTGTGTCCCTAAACTCAGCTCCTCCCTCCACCCACTTTAGTGGAAACCCAGGCCTTCTTGGCCTCTTTCCAACCTTCATTCGAATCTGTTTTCTCATAAGGACCTTGTAGCAGTCATTTTAACCTCAGTGTGAATTCTGATTCTCATAGCTGGAAAGTGGCTGGTCCAGATGCAGCTGTATAGACAGGAAAGCTGAGGCTAGGCCCTGCTGTCACATACTGATGCCCACCACTCAATCTCCTTGACTCTGCTCCCTGCTCTTTTCCTCCCTAACGTCAGTGCCCTCAGTTTTCTCTCTGGGGACAGAGAAGATCGGGACCAAGATGTAGTAAGGCACTTGAGGGAGAAGACTCAGTAACCTGCAAAGAGTCCCATCCTACCCTCTGCCTGATAGAGAAGGAACAGCCACAGGATGAATGCCCAATCGACTACAGGGGCATCCAAACCTTGATCATTCCTCTCCAAGCGAAAGTTGTTATTAGGAAACGATCAGGTATTAGTCACTCACACTTTAGTGTGAATTTGGACTCAATATTTGAACGCAGGCTGCCTAGAGAACTTCATTGAGAAAGATTCTGGAGTTGCACTCAGGTTTCTCAGATCTGCAATGATCAAAGCCCACAGCTCCCAAACGTGAGAGGGTCACTCACCGCAGGGGCCAAAGCTGCCAGGTCTGTGGTTGTCAGTGGGACATTGTTGGGAACCTGGAACCAAGAACAAATGGGCAAAGGTGTGAACACAACAGGGCAGGAATCTCTCAACACACACAGAGTATCCTGTCTATCCACAAACCAATTACACACACATCCCTATAAGCACCCATTTTTGTTCTAACTAAAACTCACTGCCATCTAGTCAATTCTGACTCATAGCAAGCCCCTTTGGGTTTCCAAGGCAGTAAATCTTTATGGAAATAGATTGCCCTGTCTTCCTTCCATGGAGTGGCTGATGGGTTTGAACCACCAACCTTCTGGATAGCAGCAGTCAAATGTCTTAGACCCTATACCACCAGAGCTCCTTTATTACTGAGCCCTTACCACATACCAGGAGCTCTGGTAGCATAGTGCCTAAGGCATTTGACTGCTAACCAGAAGGCTGGCCACCAGCCACTCCTGGAAGGAAGGTTGGGCAATCTATTTCTATAGTGATACCACCTTGGAAACCCAAGGAGGGGTCACTATGACTTGGGTTTGACTCAATGGCAGTGAGTTTGGTTTTACCACATACCAGGTACATGCTAAAGACTTCTCATGGCTTTGGTCACTTCACCTTCATAACACCTTGAAGAGGTGGATGCTATGGTTCCCTCATTTCACAAGTGGAGAAACTGAGGCTTCTGCCCAGGGGCATACAGCAGGTAACCTTTTAACCAGAACTTTTTAACCACCCTGCCAGAGCTCTCAACTTGAAGGCCCAGGAACCAAACCTAATCCCAGAGATTTTTATCTTTTACCCAGACAGTATTTTCAAACACTAAGTTTGCTTCCAATATTTATAAATCTAGAAGACACATATGTACTTGCCAATTTCATTGAAAAGTTGGACAATCTGGTCACACTGGCCCAGTACCCCCTAGAGGCAGCTAAGTGGCAATCACACAAGAGATGGGGCACAGGCTCCCCAGTTCACTGCAGTCCCACCAGTCCTGTTTCCCTCATTCTGCCACCTCACTGGCCCCTAGAGCCCTGGTGTTTGAGATCTTTGAACAACATGTCAGCTTCTCAGAACAGACCTGGTCTTACAGGATAAACACAGAGACACACTCTCTTGGAGTCAGGATTCCCAGACACACATTCAACACTCAGCTGTGAACCCTTCCTCTCTGTCACCAGTACTCACATGCACATATACCCATATTCTCACACATGAAGCCTTCCGCTGACTAGGACTCCCCTCCAGGGAGTGACCAACCCCTGCTCCTTTGGGCTTGAAACGTGGGTAGGAAGGCCACAGGGTCAGAGGTCACTGCCTCTGGAGAGGCCTGAGACCAAGACAGTGTTTCTGATGGGGCTTCTTGGAGATGGGCTCCCAGACATCTGTGAGGATGTGAGAGGGGCCAGAATGGGCACAGAGAGGTCTCAGAAGCTTCAGAACAAATGTCCAAGTGACCTTTGTTTGGCTCAGTCCAACCCTAGTTTTCTTCTCTCCAACTCGAATCTTCTTCTAAGAAAGCCCTAAGAATGTCAGCCATTTACACAGTAGTGTTATGGCTTCAACTCTGGGAAGGCTCGTTTGGTACAGGGTAGAGTATTGGCTCCACTTCACCAAGTTCTGACCAATTGGATGTGGCTTCCGAGAGGATGTGTTGAGAAGGATTCAGAGGCCTCTCTCAGGTGTAGCCAAGTAGGGGACAACGATTAGAATCTGCACTACAAGTACAGGCGTGGCCAGTGGCCATGCATGTTCTAAATCTGTCTAACTCCTGTGACAGAGAAGAGGGCTTGGCAATGCTGAGTAGGGATAATGTGACTAGGTCAGCAGAAGCCCCCAAGCCAGTGTCCCCCGCTGCCACACTCACCAGCTCAGAGGTGATGTCTATGTCAAGAGCACCATTGGTCTGCAGGAGTCCAAACACAGTGGTGAAGAGGTACAGTGGCACTGTCACCTGGGATGTGTGGTCCTCCTTAGGGGGAACCTTAACAGGCTTGGGAGGCTTAGGGAAGTCGATGATGTTACCAGCTACACCTTTCACAATGGGCTGCAGGTGCAAGAAACAGGATATGGGAAGCTCTCAGAGCTGCTCATTCATCCAGCCATGACGCAGCATCCCCTAAGCAGCCCCCACCAGGACCACACCCCACACCCAGCTTCAGGCAGGGCCTCTGCAGACACTCACGTTGATGTCCAGCTCTATGTACTGGTTGGAAATGAGAGGCAGTGTAGCCAGAGAGAACTCCACGGATCCAAGAGCCCCAAGGGGCACCAGGGCTGCATGGGGTGAAAGACTCTGTGAGCCCAGGCCCCAATAATAATAGTTTCTTTTTCCGTTTATCGAGTTCCTACTAAACGCCCAGCACTGTACTAAGTATTCAGTTGAGTGCTACTGTCATCCCGTTTTACAGATAAGGAAAGTGAGGCTCAGGCAAAGGAATTCACCAGCCAAGGCCATACAAGCCACACAGTGACAAAGCCAGGATTCAAACCCAGGCCTGCCCATCCTTCAGAGCTGGTGCCACTAACCATGTGGCTGCCCTGCCTCTCTCCTGTAACACCACACAGAGAGACATGTCTACTCTAAGTTTTCTATCTTTGCCCTGGTTGTGTCTTCTTAAACTTTTCAAAGTACTTTTGTGAACACAAAACACATCTGCATCTCCACGAGGCACAAAGAGACTGGGGTCTGCTGTTCCTTTAAGCTTCCTGGGCCTTAGTCGTCTTCCACGTCCAGTAACGACATCAGTAATAACAGCTGCTTTGCATTTCTGGCAGAGCCAGATCCAGTGTGGGTGCTCATTAAATGCTGGCCTAAAGCCCCACTGGGTGGAGAACTGCAAGGCTCCAAGTCCCCATGACCTGCTGAACCAGCTGCAGTTCAGGGCTCCACCAATAGGCCTTACCAAAATGGCGGCCTCATCAGTGTGAGGAGGAAGTGAAAAGTTCCAGAATTCCACCCCTTCCCTTTCCCCTTTGTACTCCCACCCCCTTGGCCACAGGCCGCAAGGGGAAAGGAAGGGGGCACAGAGGAGGGGTCTGGGCCCCAACTTACACAGCACAGCGCCTAGGAGTTCATTCACCACGCCCAGCACACTGTCCACCACGGGGCAGAGCTACATCAGGGGAGACAGACATTGGGGGAAAAACAAACATGAACCCCAGTGTGGCCCAGAGGTGGCTAGGCTACCTTTCCTTTAAATGATTTCTTATTCAGCCCCAGGGGCCAAGGCAAGGTGGGACATGGACACTAATGGGGCACACAGAGTGTGAGGCAGAGGACAGCCTGGTGTCTGGGCTTGGGTCGCAAGCCTCAGAAGATGGAATGAGGGGTGCCAAGGGCTAGGGTCCCCAAGCCCTGCTTCCATTTGTTACATGGGCCCCATCAGGAAACCCCAAAGGATGCTGGGGGATGACACATTTCAGAGGCCAGCTGGAGTGTGGCCACAAAGCCTTTCTTTGAGAAATCACAGGTGACTGTGATTCCCATTGATGTCTCAGATGTCCCCCACCATTCTCAGGTGGGCATGAAGAGGCCAGAGCCCTGGGGCTCCAGGATAGTAAAATTAAGGCCCCTGAAGGGGCACCTCCTCCCCTCCACCAGAGGAGCCCGGCTCCAGAATGTCTACCACCCACACTACTACTTGTTTCCTCAAAACTCCTGTGCAGTGAGAACCAGGGAGCAGATGGGCAACTTCCAGAGCCCTGAGTCTAGAATTCAAGAATCTTGAGTCCACAGCCCCTTCATTCTACAGCTGGGGCGAGCCAGGCCCAGAAAAGATGGGCAACTTGCCCAAGGTCACAAAGTTGTTTGCAGAGAGAGAAGAGGGTTGCAGTATTTAAACTTAGGTTCCCAAACTCCAGGACCCCTGGGTCAGGCATGTCACAGAATGGACAGGAGGAGGCCCGAAAGGGCTGTCTTGGCAGGGGAAGCAACCCTCCTTGGCACTAGCCATGTATAACCTCCAGGATGGCTGAATTGGCTAATTGCACAAGAGAAGCTAGAAATCCGGATTGTTAAGAGAAATCTCCACTCTCCAAATGCTGGCAATGAACTCTTACTTTAAAAACCGCTTTCAGGTCACACAAAGCCCGTCTTCCAGACCAAAATGGTCTGGGTCCCATAGACTTTAAATACACCCACACTCCTTTGTTGAAATCCACCTGAGAGGCCCCTGCTGGGAGCTTCTCACTTGTGCTAAGTTTCTTCAAGCCTGAGCAGTTCTAACAACCCTCGGCCCATCCCTGCCTGCTCCACACACACGTTCTTCCCAAGGATTCACAAGGGAGACACAGCCAGGCCTGGGTGTCAGGAAGCTGCGATGCCCCCTACTGGCTGTGTGACCACTGCAAGGCCCTATCTCAGCAAAAGCAGGATGGGGCCAGACCAGCTTTCCTCAAGTGTGGTTTGCTTCCCCTGTGGAAGCCAGGAAGGCCCTGGACAAGCTTCCTTGAATAGTTTATAATCATATTATAATTTGATATATATAATATTATAATTAGACATTGTAATATGTCTAATTTCTGATGCCTTAATAGACACATACATGATTTTCTGGATTCTAAGCACAAGGCTCAGAGCTCTGGTAGCGTAGTGCCTAAAGCATTTGACTGCTAACCAGAAGGCTGGTGGTTCAAACCCACCAGCCACTCCACGGAAGGAAGGTTGGGCAATCTACTTCCATAGTGATACCGCCTCGGAAACCCAAGGAGGGATCACTATGAGTTGGATCTGACTCCATGGCAGTGAGTTG